ATATCCTTACTACTTTGGTATTTAATTCAAGTCCACCAAGCTGCCATTCCAGATAGCCTAGAAAGGTAGGTTAAAACTATACACCTCTGGTTCACATGTTTGCTGGCATGTGCCCTTTTTCTCCAGAACTCAGAAATTCCGGTAGCCTGGTTGGTTCATCCAGTTCCTTTTCAAAGACCAGCACATTTGCCTGGTTTCACAAGTTCTAGCTTCATTTTATAAGTCTAGTCTTTACAGTAGCACCATTGAAGGTTTGTGTTACCTCTCTACTCGGGTCTTCCAAGTGAGCTTCCATCTTCCTACCTGGTTCCCTTGATTTACATGGCCTAAGAACTTATCTTGGGTTCATACCACCAGTACCGATTTGTGTTCTCTCATACAACATTGTATGAGTGCCTTAGACCTTCCAGTCATGCTAGTATGACATGGGTTACAGGTATCCTATCCCAACTAATCATGAAAGACAGTTAGCTATAACACAGAAAGAATTGCAAATTTTTGCTGTCACTGGGATTTGAACTCTAGACCTGTCACTTAGGGGTTGACAACCTATTCACTTTACTAGATCGCCACATCCCATGTTGTGTTTTGTAAAAATAGTTAGATTTTAGTAAATATTATATAGTCATATCATTTAAAGTAATAAGAAAGTAATATTGTAAAATTAGATTTAATTAAATATTTAAAGATATTTTATTTAGCTAAGAGATCAGCTTGATTATAAAAAAAATTATTAGAGTGAAATTTAACTTTGTAAAAAAAGATATTAAGAGATTTTGTTTGAATAAAATAATAGATAATAAATAAAATATCCCAGTTTTAATATATAAGAATTTATATAAAAAAGAAAATAGTTGAATGTTTTTTAATGCTAATAGATTGTTGAAATGTATATTGTATTATAAGTTATTGATAGAATAAATAGAAGATAAACAATTGCTTTAAATTCAACTCAGTAATATTAGTAATTATATATATATATTTTTTTTTTTTGCTTTTGCTAAGGCCATAGTTATCAGCAGCTATTGCTTTTATTGTATTTTAATTATGATTACATAACTTGTACAAGGTGAATATACAATTAGCTACACATACAACTTTTGGTTGTCTAATTTAAGTAGTCCACCCACATAGCAGATTCTACACTAGTTGCCATATCTGCAATCTACTAGAAGATTACCTATTTTAAACACTCTGATCCCTATACTCAATGTTGTACATAGATACTGTTCATGCATATTTCTTGGACATGGATATATTTGGACATTGTCCAATGTTTATGTTTGCTTATATGTCCAAACTTTTAGATTGTCACCAGATATTGTCCACATGATATAATGTAAACACAGATGTTCAGTAAACAGTGTCCACCAGACATTACCCAATGTCCAAGCATTTAATTAGCTAATGCATCAGAAGTATCTATGACAAAAATTAAACAATGTTCAAATGTTCATACATTGTGTCTAAAAAAAGTCTTGCGCCTGCTCATATAAGCATTACTATTTTAAACCATTTTTATAGTAATTGATAGTATATATTTTATTATTTTTGGCAAGTCAAAATTTTTTTTGTAATAAATATATTTATTTAACAAACAAAAATTTTATTGCACATAAAGTATATAACAGGACTTAAAAGACTATATTAAAATGCTGGCCATTCAAAATACATAGTAAACAATAAGATAAATCAAGAAAAACATCTAACAATAGGCTGCAGGCCAGCAAATTACTATAGGATTTTAAGCCCTGGTATATATCTTTTCTACAATCATTTGAAATTTGTATAAGATTAAATTTCTAATCAAAGCTAAACTGTAAGACTTAAGTTCTAATTGAGCCCTAAAAAAAGCAACCAAAGTTCTATATAGAAAAGAATATTAATGTAGTACCAGTATATTATACATATACAGTATTGAGATCAGAGCCTCCAGATGCTGATAGCAAAAATAGTTAGCAAAAATAGTTAGTGAAATTAGCAAATTTAGCAAACTAGCTTATCTTTATTAAGTATAAATTTAATGCAATCATATTTTTCTTCTGAGAGTTCTTCATCTATTATTTCAGTGAGTTCTCCAGTCATCATCTAAAATATGCATATAATTACTTGTTTATATAAATCAGTTCAAGAACAAAGGTAATAATCTCATGTTTAGTACAAAAGTAGCAAATTTCGCATCTTAGCACAAAACAATTGCTGATAGCTATTTTGCTAAAAAATAGTACTATTTTAGATGCTACAAAAAAATATCAGAGGGCTCTAAAATGAAATAATAATAATGTATAAAACCTGTTTAATAAACAAAGTCGAATGAGCTGATAATGCATGAACTTGATTAATGAATAGAGTCAAGAATGAATGATAATGCATAAAACCTGATTAATGAATAGAGTCAAATGAGCTGATAATGCATGTAGCATATAATGCAAAGCTGAAGTCCTTACCTGTTTTTCATGAAGTTTGCCTTTCTCTCACAAAGTTTGAAATTTTTTAATAAATAACCCAAAATCTATTTTACATTTTTTTTTATTAAATATGATGCCAAATATTTATTAATAATGAAACCAATCTTATAAATATACCAAAGTCTATTATACTTTGCTGAACCTGTATCTGGTTCTAAAAGAATTTTTTTAAAAAAAAAAAACAAAAAACAATTGCTAGCTAAAAAAAACAATAAAATAGTAATGTCATCAATACCTGATTTGTTAGAATGATATATAATTAAAACCAAAGAAAAGATTAATAAAAGTAACTATAAAGTTTACTGTAAGGTGTGTATTGATGTATTGGGTGATGATGGGATAGAAGTTTTTGTTTCAAATAAAACAGATAGGATAATTGCACACCTCAAAAAATGTACATATTTTACAAGACAAACAACACCTGAGGAAAGAGAAAAAGTCTTTAACTTATCTAATAATGAACAATCAAGTATGAATAGAAAAAAAGTCTATTTTAAGCAGTGTGAAATATATATTAATATGCTCAATTTCTCCAGGTTTATATGATACCATGTCTACCTCATCACAATCATCTACCCAAAAGAGCATTGTACAATCCACTTCTTTTGGCCCACTTGACAACTATTCTGTTCATTCATTGTTACAACAAGACTATAAAAAATTTAAGGTTCTTTTGCTAAGACTAACAGTATCTTGCGGTTGGGCTTTTAATTGGATAAATAAGCTTGAAGCAAGTGAGTTGTTTGATTTTTTAAACCCTCTTATAAAGCTTCCAGATCACTGGACTCTTAGTGGACCAACTTTAGAGATGGCAGTTTCTGAATATAATAGGGAAATGTTTGAAGCTCTTCAAAAAGATTCAATTGGTGTTACTTTAATGTTTGATGGGTAGATGAACATCAATAATGAACAATTAATAGGTACAATGTTAGTAACTTCAGTAGGGAAACTCTATATTTGGAAGATGACGATATTAGTATGAAGAGAAAAAGTTACACTAAAGTAATAGAAAAAACAAAAGAAATAATTAATAAGTTAAAAAAAATAAATGTAAAGATCATTGCAATTGTAACAGATAGTGCAGAGCCATATGCTGCAGCTAGGTATTTTCATTTTTCTTCTGATTTATATTAGCCTATAATTTAATTATATATATTATTATTATTATTATTAGATGAAGATTAAGGCCTATTCACAGAAATATTGTATTCTTGCCCTGTTATGTCCACCAATTAAACCTATGCATAGGTGAAGTTTTTAAGGAATCGACTAATTTAAAAAGCACAATAGATAAAGCAATTCAGCTAGCTATGTATTTTAATAATGCCAATAATAAATATTTTATTGGGCAATTACGTGATCAACAAAAAATAAACTACAAAAAGTATTATAGTATAGTAGTTCCAAGTGAAGCTAGATGGAATAGTTACTATTTACTTGTTACTAGTTTTTTGAAAACCAAGCAAGCATTACAGATATATTAATAAGGTCATACAAATTTAATGAATTGGTCTAGTTAGATCAAATTTTTCGAAACTTTAATTAAAAATTTTAAAAATTAAAGACCAGGTCGCTAGGTTGTTTTTAAAATTTTACTTTGAGAATCAATAATAAAAATTATATTAATTGTTAATTGAGGCTTTTATATATTTTTATTTTAGATTCTTGTGATAAATTTTCAACCATCCTATTCCCAAAATCGACAAAAATCTAGTAAAAATCTCTCAATTTATTTTGAAATTTTTCAAACTATCAGATTGGATTCATTTTGGTCTAATCTAGTAATAATCATAGAAATTCTATATTCTTATTGTAAAATACTAAATAGATTGCAATGCGATAATGCCAAATTAATCCATATTATGCATAGTCTTGCATATTTAGTTCAATTTTAGAATAAACATGCTAACTTACAACTTTCTAAAAAGATATTAAATAGGTTAGAAAAAAGATGGAATAACTGGGAACAACCTCTTCTTATTTTAGCATGCTTATTATATCCTAAATATCGATTATCTTACTTTAAAGACCAATTAGTAATTAATTATTCAAAATTTGGAAAATATCTGATTTATTACTACAAAGCTTGGTCAGGAAAAGAACCTACTTGCATTTTGAGAGAATTTAATGATTTTTTTAACAAAGCTTATTCGTTTGATGATAATACTTATAGCCAATTTAATGATATATTAAGTTATTAAAATTATGCTAGGCCTTCAACAAATAAATTAGGATTGGTAGCATGCCAATTGTATAGAATTTGTATTAATTCTGCTGCTGTTGAGTGTCTTTAAAGTTGTATGAGTTTTTTTCAAACCAATCGAAGAAATCAATTAATTGTAATTTTTTTTATATTTTTTATTTATTTTTTATAGCTGTTTTTAAAATATTAAGACACATAAAAGTTAATAATAATGGCTGATTTTGATAAGTTTTTTAACAATACAGTCAACTCTCCAAAATCTCAAACTCTTAATAAGCTTTGTAAAAAAGCTTTAAAACATTTGTAAATTTTATTACAAAGTTCAGATTAGCAACATAGTAACTGAATTTTGGCATATAGGAACAGACTATTCAGAATAGAGAGTTGACTACAACTCACTCTTGTTATAGTAAAGTTATTGGGATAAAAAAAAACTTCACTATAGCTTATATCGAGAGAATACTATGTACTTTACTATATCGAGTTGAAGTTTAATAATTCCATAATTCAAAATTCTTCACTATATCGAATCTTCACTATAATGAGAATAAGTTGTATAATCTTAATAGTACATAACTACTTTTTGTGAGAATTTGAATTATTCAGTCTTTTCATCTAGTTTAGTTTTTTTATCTCAAGAAGGCATACTTTGTTAATAATAAGGTATCTTGTATTATAATTTCAATACATTATAGCTTGAATATCTTAATTAACACATATCTTATTCTACTCAACATATTTAGAATATATCTGTCATGATATTTTGAAAACAGCCGTAAATTTTATAAATTTTTTTTTTTCTAAATAAATTTTTATTTAGTCACAAAAGGCTCTTAATATGAGCAAATTAAAAGCTTCTATCACATAGGAACATTTACACAAGTCAAACCCTGTTGAATTACCTCTACCCAGTTTTCAAGATGAATACAACACAGAGAATAATGATCAACCAAATATAAATTACGAAGAATTAAGTAAAGAATATGCAGAACCCGATGAATCTGCAGATCTTGCTTTGGATGAAACAATTGATGACAAGACTTTGGAATTAACTCCTTTGAAAGAGTTTGGCCAATTTTTAGATGTATGGATCGAAATATCGAAAAATGAGATTGATAAAATTGCATAAATATATGAAGATGAGAATGAGATGTTAACTTCAGAAGTTGAGAATATCATTCATCTGGCAACAGATTCAAAATCTAAATAGGATTTAAGGGTTCTATTTAATGAATTACAATTATCTTTTTAACATATATATATATGTGTATATATATGCATATATATATTTGTTTATTTAAATTTTATACGTATATTCAAATTATATATATATGTATTATTATTATTATTATAAAATAAAATATTTAAATTTCTTTCTAGTTTAGGTAATATACCCAAATTTGCAAGATAATACATGAACAATTTATGGAATTATGCCTAAAGTTTTATTAAGGATTATTCATCACAGCCAATATTTAGCACTATTAGTTAGACATGATTATTGTAGAAAAGGAGGTTTTTTTAATTGTTTATTTAACTAGGTTTTATATCAATATCAGGTAAGTGTAAAAGTTCACTATTTTGTAGATAACATGTAATTTTTCTTGGCGATATTAATGACTTTGATAATTGAAACCAGGTAAGCATATTATTGACATCTTGTACTATGATTTTTTTTAAGTTATATAGAGTGCAGCATTCACAAGATTTTTTAATTCGATTTAATATTTAATTAGGATCTTTGAAATGAGCATTATTTGTTATTTTTGGTTTGGTAAGTCTCACGATTAATATACTATATGAGTGCTATCAAGGAAAACCAGTCACTGAGATTTCAAGTTTACTGCTTACTGAACACAATCTCTAACAACTTGGATAGATTGAGTCCAGTAAGCAATAAACTTGAAACCTCTAATGACAGGTTTTTCTTTTGTGTTCAGATTAAAATACCTGTTATATTAATGATATATGATTTTATACATGGTGATAATTATGAAGAGGTGGTGAATGTTCCAGGGCACTACAGAAGTTTTGAGATTTATTTTTGTTTAATTTTTTATATAAATTCTCAAGTAGGTTTTCAATGTTATTTGGTAAGCTTTTTCTATATAACATTAGTTATTCGTCTATATTAAGTTTATTAATGTTTTAAATCTGTGAATAGGCTTTTGATTTTCACCTTTAATATATAGATGCTAATAATTAGTCAACACTAGAATTTAACAGTCAGATTAAAATTATAAATTAATTTGAAACTTATTTCTTCTGGTTGATTAATATTCTTAAAAGTTTCAATAAACATGCCATTTTTCTTAGAGTGAATCCAAAAATATTATTTTTAATATTATTTGTAAGAGTTTCAAAGTTAAAAATCCATGCCAGTGAAATAAGTAACACATTTGTTCTTTGAAATAAACTATTTACAAATCTTATTTATTTTTAATTTAAGGTCTGAATAAATGAATTAAATTTATTCATAAAATAGAATCTTCAGACCAGGGATGTTATTGGCTCATTCAGCTCTATTCATTAATTAGTTTTTATAATATGAGTGCTGTCAAAAGAAGACCTGTTATCGGGTTTTCAATTATATTTTTGTAATGGACTTAATCTATTTGATTTATTAGTAATTATGTCTGATACAAAATATAATTGAAAGTCCGATGACAGGTTTTCTTTTGACAGCATTCATATAGTTAAATATACAGGCTGGGTCAAGCCGATAACATTCCTACTTCAGACACTCTCATTTCATTCTCTTATACGATCATTCATAATCACAAATTCAGCTCCTACTTATTTCTAAAATTTAGCTTTGAAAACCCAGTGTACAATTTTGGAAGTGACATTAAATCTGCAAATCATTCTCAACCTTTTAGTATATGATTAATTGTTTAATGTAAATAAATTATTTATTTCTAATAATTTTATTTAAACCCACAAATAATTCTTTATTGTGAAATAAGTTTTTCATGATTGCTTAATGTAAGCACAACATTAGTTCAGTTTTTATTAAATTCATATAAATATATACTTGTGCATATGTGATCTAGATATTGATGCTTACAAAAATTGTTGTGGATCAGAATTCATACATATTCTACTAAATTAATCATACAGAAAATCTTGGCCACAATTCATTGCAAATCTTAATCGCAAGTCAGTATTAAATAGTAATCATCAAAAGGTCTTTGTCCAGTTAAAGTCTTCGATATGATAACTCCAAAACTGTATTAGCTGCTCATGTGAAAGATTTATCTTGTAAGACTTCTGTAGTAACATACAGTAAGATATAACTCTTAGACAACTCTAGATTTGAAATGTGTTTCTTAGTAAAATGTTGCCATTATGTTTCATATAAGTAACAAACTTTATAAATAAATTAGTTAAGATTTTTTAAGAATGTAATAAATAAACAGCTTACTTCTTTTATTAAATGCTACATTCTCCAATTTTTTGATAATATCTAATCCATCAAGGATAGATTATGTACGATTAAAAAATAGAGTTTAAAGTATATAGACTAACTCAAAATACTGAATATATGTTAGCATTTGATGAATTTGGTTCTAAAAGAATAAAATGTTATAGAAAATGTACAAATTGCAAACAGATATAATATGTCCATTCACCGCTACCATAATTTTGTGTTCTAAGTTGAAACTTGTTCAAATGTTTAAACAATTCAATATCCTTATTTTCACCTGTTCAACTTTAGTTATATCAGGATTGCATGTTCGGCATCACAAGCAATTCGTGTCATTGTTATTAAAATAAAGGTCCTAGGGTCGTAAAGGTCAAAAAGAGCAATACACAAAGTATTTATTTAAAATATTAACTTTTGTTTTACATAAATTCGTAATTTATATTAACTAATAAAATTATAGCAGATATTGGACAATGTTCAAATTTTTGTTCACGCTTATTTGATTGTTAATCTATTCAAGCCAATAAGATTATGACAAACATTGAACAAATGTCCAAATTTTTGTCCATGCTTATTTGATTTGTTGATCTATTCGAGCCAATAGGATTATGGCGAATGTTGGACAATGTCCAAATGCCTAATTTTTTTTGAATACAGACATAGACATCCAGTCTGATCTGGTTCATGCTCATGTTCGTATTTACATGACAACACTGCCTATACTTACACCAACAAATAGCATACAAGTTTCTATACACCTAAGTGCTGTCTAACCTAACCATAACCTTTCTGTCTATACATTTGTTAAGCTGTTACATATTTCAAAGTACGTCACCTGACTGTAGGGCTTTAGGAGGCCCTTCTGCTAACTAACTATCCACATTTAGTATCTTGTTAACAGAGCTCACTCTTGCAAAGTTTACCCAGACCTTAGCACTAACTTCATAGCATATTTTTAGTACTTTAGTATTCCCCTGTTTCTGACCTCAAACTCCCAATCCAGATAGCCTAGTAGGACTGTGACCTTTTTCTGGTACCTCAGGGTCTGCCTCCCAAGGTTCTCTTTCTCTGGTTCGAGACTTCCGATGGCCTGGTTGGTGGTACCCCTCATCTGAGGTTCTTGCCTGCCCGATTCCTTCCACATTGGTATCTGTTTCCTAGATCTAGCCTTTACAGTAGTACTATCGAAGATCCATGTTATCTCTCTACTCAGGTCTTCCCAAGTGGGCTTCCGGTTATCCCAGTTTACAGATTTACATGGTCACAGATGCCCCATAACCTGTCAGTTATCTGTAGAGTTGTTAATAGGTTGAGTTGGGTTGGGTTGGGTTGATCCAATTCTTAACCCACTCCAGTAAATTAGACTTACTCCAGCATTTTGCTCCAGGTTGCTTCATAGCTACTCTGGGTTGCTCCAGGTTGCTCCAAACTTAAAAATAAAAATTTAAACCCACTCCAACTTAGGTTGGGTTCTACTCCAGAGTGCTCTGGAGCAAGCTACTCCATTAACAACCCTAGTTATCTGATGTGACTGTGTTACAAGTACTGATCCCAACTGATCGATAAATAGCTGTTGCCATAGTACTGGTTTCAAGAACTTATCTTATGTTTGTACTGCCTGATGCCAGTTTGCATTCCTCTGTATAACTCTAACATTACACAAATGTTCGTATATACTGATGTAACATAGGTGGTTTTCCAAATTTTCATTGTTAGTGGGTTTTGAACTCCCAATCTACCACTTGAAGAGTTGACAACTTATCCACTTCACTAAGTCGCCACACCCAAAGACCTTTTTATTAATTAACTTGTTTTTTATGATTTTATTAATAGAACTATATTTTTGTAGAGTTTATTCAAATTTCAGTACTAATTTTATAATATATTTTTAGTATTTTATATATAAAAAATATTACAATTAACCTATAGTGATTATTATTATCTCTATTTTTAAGGTTAGGATGCAGTTTGAGACAAAAGCAAGAATTAGATATAATAGTTTGAATTTTAGATTATATGAAGTTTTTAGAGGTTTCGAACATTTTTACTTAGTCTACCTGACTTTTGTTTCTTAGTGTGTTTTTTGAGATATAGTTTCTAGGTGATGATTATTATAGGTTATAGTTAGTAATATTTTTTAAATATATATCTATATTGGTTTTTAAACTTTTAATCTAATAAATTAAATTTAATTTTTTTTTTAGTTCAAAATTTAGTAATCTGATTGGTAGATTTATTTGTTTTAATAAATTATATGCTGTTTGATTTTTTTATATTAGTATCTGTTTTTTTTTGTTTTTGTTAAGTTAATGTTAATTAGCAGCTATTGCTTTTATTTGAAATTTAATTATATATACAGGTTAAACAAATAAATAAAGAATAAATAATAATAAAAAAATCTGTCATTATTTTACTCTATATTTATCAAATAATGACAGTATAACAGCATTATAATAGCAGATTTTTTATTATTATTTATCTATTATTTTTTCTTTATTTATTTGTTTAATCTATAATATTTATATACATAACTTGTACAAAGTGAGTGTGCAATTAGTTACATATACAACTTTTGATTATTAATTTAAGTAGTTTATTTACAAGTTTTATACTAGTTGTTATATTTATAATTTACGAAAAAATTACTTATTTAAATATTTTAATTTTTATACTATATTAGTTAAAAAATTTTGCAGTTTTTG